AAAAAAAAAAAAAAAAAAAAAAAACGATCATGAATTTTTATATTTGTTTGTGTAGAAAAAACTTATTATTGTTAACTGCAATAATATATGTGCTAATGTTTTAAAAAAGAAGAAAAAAAAAACAGAAGAGAAACGCCACACTGTGAAAATTGAAAAAGCCTTAGTACAAGGTGAACAAAATTCTGGTATGCAATTATAGACTCCCTTAAATCATTTTTTTTTTTTGTTTGAAAGTAAAATTAATGAAGGATTGAAAAATGTACAAAGAAAAGATTGGTTTTTTTTTATAACTTGTTGTCTTTTGAGCAGAAAAAAAATTATGAAGTTATTCTGATTAAAACCAGTTTTCAGAAATAAAAGTTTTTTTTACAAATTCTGCAGAAGGTTCTTTTAATGACCTTTCTGATACTGAAAGACGTAAAAGATTAAACGTTCTCTAGAAATTAACACTTTGAAACACCCTAAATTAAAAAAAAAAAATTAGTAGGAAGAACGCTTAACACACCGCCCCTCTGAAACTCGTTTCGGTTGTTTGGTAGTTTTTATGGCATTCTAAATGACTGAAAAAATATACTCATATCATTTAGATATACAACACAACAAGAAAAAGTTTAATGTGTGTTTAGGAAAAAAAATGTTGACTGAAAATTCCTTTTTCAACCACTGTCAATTATTTTCAACATTTAGGTACAGAATTGCTCAGTTGTGCATGCGTATGTTTGTGTAAAGCAACTAGACTAATGTTTTTTTCATTCAAAACTTTTACATATAAACCACTGATGATGACAAGCAGTTAGAAGTATGAGAAAAGAAAATTTGAAGTAGAACTTTTCAGTTGTTGTGTGAAGAAAAAAATGATACAGTTGGCTCGAAACTGCTTTTATACGAATAAAACAGTGATATTTCAAATTATTTTTTTATAAAAATAATCTTTAATGGATCTTGATCCTCTGGGCTCTTTGTACCGTCTTTGCGGTATGTACGCGATGTTTTGCCATACGGCGCTTAGCAGCGGCTCGTCGTTTAGCAGCATAAGGAGCGTGTTCGCCAACAAGAACTGGATCACATCCACCTGGTGGAATAGGTGGATTGCTGTTGCTTGATCGTGGTGGGCATGGACAATATCCGGCATCCAAGCCAGGTACACCTTCCGGACCAGGCTGAAAGCACAAATGTACTTAGATCTTTGTCAGCCAAGCAGTTTTCTTGGATAATTATAATCAACAAAGGCTGCACTGAACAAGTTTTGAAATTTATTTTTCTGGCAATAAATGCAATGTAAATTGTAGCTTACCGGTCCCATTTCTCCATCGCGGCCAGCAATACCTGGAGCACCAGCTGGACCGGCAGGACCCATTGGACCTTCTGGACCTTTCTGTCCGTCTGGGCCGTTTGGACCAGCTTTGCCCATCGGTCCCTGTGGACCACGAGGTCCTTTCGGTCCCTTCTGGCAAGTCGTCTTTGTTCCATCTTTTCCTGGCGGGCCTGGAGGTCCCTGTGGG